AATAATAGCTACCAAGAGAGCATTCACATGGCACCTTTTGAAGCTCTATATGGGAAGAAATGTAGGACACCATTGAACTGCGTTGAAGTGGGAGACCATGGATACTTTGGGTCGGACTTCATCAAAGAGGCTCGAGAGCAAGTCATCATTATTTAGAGTCATTTGAAGGCAGCTCAGAGCCGACAGAAAGCCTATACAGACAAGCGAAGAAGACCCTTGGAGTTTGCAGTTGGGGATTATGTGTACCTCAAGGTGTCTCCTATGAGAGGGGTGCATCAGTTTGGTATCCATGGCAAGTTAGCTCCCCGATACGTGGGTCCCTACAAAATTTTGAAGCAGTGTGGCCCAGTTGCTTACCGTCTCCAGCTTCCCGATATTTTATCGACGGTACATGATGTGTTTCACGTCTCATAGTTGAAGAAATCTTTGTAGGTCCTAGATGAAGCTGTAGAAATTGAAGGACTTCCACTCTAGCCTGATTTAACTTATATTGAGCACTCAGTCAGAATTCTGGATGAAAAGGAAAGAGTTACAAGGAACAGTGTGGTAAAGTTCTACAAGGCGTAGTGGCAAAACCACTCTGAGGATGAGGCCACGTGGGAACAAGAGAGTTATATATTGAAGCATTACCCCCATCTTCTCTCTAGATCTGATAGGTAGTGGTTTAAATTGAAATGTATTTCCTATCTCCTTTCCCACACTAGGCACACGAAATCTCGGGTCGAGATTTTGTTTTAGGGGGGTAGATTTGTAACACCCTCGGTATTACACTATATAGCTTTTTGCTAAAACACTGCATGAGCATCATACTTATGTGTAAATGTGTGTAATATAGGGTGTAAAGCAATATACGAAACTTGAAACATTCATCGGAAACATGAAACGAATGTTACATTTCAAGTCGCGTTGTATCACTTAGTGTTCTAAACGATTTTTTATTGAACGGGAATGCTATAGAACACATAGATGAAACTTTGATAAAGTTTATAGTACAAAATTTGTAGGTGGCGGTGAAATACTTGCGGTTGAGAATGGGGTTCGCTAGATAACATAGTTGGTAGCTTGGAAATCGAAGTTGACTCGAATCCGAAGAAAAACTTAGTCATTTTCTTAAGTCAAAAAATGGATCGACGAACCAAAGTTTGGGAATTTTTATAGGAGAATCGGGTTAAGTAGTGGCATGGTCTTAAGGTTTGTTTTAGTAGTTTGATATACCATCTCGAGCGTTAAATAGTTGGTTTAGCAATTGAAGCATTGAGGTGGGTTTTGGGGCAGCTTTAAAAATCATGCATGGCACGTTCCGGCCGATGTCAGCGTCTGGACGCGGTCGCTGTCTCGGTTCGGCTTGGCACCGTGGCTCTAGCTTGCCCAGCCATGCACCCACCCCACTATTGTCGTGCCCTGGCGTGCACACCCGCACCACCACTGCCGCGCTCATGCAAGCACCCACACAGGCACACGCACGCGCACACCGCGCCCACTGACTGGGCGCTTCGGCCACCAGCACCACCGTCATTGACCCCGCACGTCGCACCACTACACTACTGCTAGTCACTTCACTATGTCACTGACCCCGCATGTCATGCCACTACACTACTGCTAGTCGCGGCCGCTTGTGCGAAGTCGCCGCGTGCGCTCTGCCACCGCCGTTGCGTCCGCCTGTCGCCCTGCCGCCTCGCGCTCGCCTGTGTGGTGCCATGAGCGTGTGGACACATTTGGCATTGCTCGCACGTCACCTTGCCTTATACGCCTTTGCCGCAAGTCGCTCAATGAATAATGCTGCTACTTCCTTCCCGACCGCGCCATGCCACTACGATCGCGCAGAGCCGAGCCGCCGTTGTTGGTTTGTAAATTATGGCCTTGCGGCCCACCGTCCTTAACGCGTTGGCCGTTTCCCCATCGCCCTGTAGTCGTACGTGATTGTGCATCAAAGTGACAACCACGTCCCACCACGGCAGCGACGAGCCACACCATGCCCATCTCCCCAGTTCTTCTGGCGCCATGGTCGCCGAACCCGCTCCTCTAAATTCGCCGTAGTGGAGCCATCTTAGTTCAATTAACCCAGTCTACAACTCCGTCGTGTAGCCAGCCAACTACTCGACCCCACCTTACAGCGAGCCTCACTGTACCATGCTCCAATTTAGAGTTTTCCCTTGCTGGGTCATTAAGATCGCCGTGGCACGCATCGAAGGCCAGCTCCCTATCCAGTGCAGCTCGTGTCAATTCGTCGCATCACCAACTTCGCCTCCACCTGCTCGTCACCCTACGCACCTTTGCCTAATTGCTACCACTGCCAAGCCTCCCCTAACGTAGCCTTGCCATCGCTGTGCGCCACCACACCGTCCGCAACTCGGACCGCCTTCGGCCGAACCACCGTGTCGTCTGTGTCCATGGTGAGTTCCTTGAGCTCACTCGCTACCCCAAGTTCTCCGACGTTGTTGTGGCTCACCGGAACATCGTCATTTCAGTGCAGGAGCTCTGCCACCATGGACTTGCCATACTGCGGCGTCCTAGCTCGCGCTTCCTTCACCTAGTGCTTTGCGTTCAAGCCCAGTAAGGTATTGGCTCCGTAGATAGGGCGGGGAGGGACTGGTGTGGCCGGCGTAACCGCCCGATGCCAGCGCCGCCGCGCCGGTGCGCACGCGGAAGGGCGAGGGTATGGCCGTGGTAAAGAAGGAAAGGGAGAGGGTTCGAATTGTAAGTTAGCTGACTGTTAGAATAGTGCGTTTAGTGCTCACGCTATTACTAGGAAGTCCGAGGGCATTTTCAAAAGATGACCGGCGCGCGCGGGCCTCCTCGTCGTGGGCCATCGTCGCTCGGCTGGGCCACGTCCCTACGTGGGCCGCGCCATGTGTCACGCACGCGTGGGCGTTGCGTTGGAGTGGGCTGAGCCGCTCGCTCATGGGCCACGCGGGTAGAAACCGGGTTCTCATTTTCCAACGACTTAACAAATAATTATTTAATTTAGTTTTGAGCTGAACTTTGAAAAAAGATAGTAAATTCTGGAGATGTCCAAAAATAGTAAAACAAAATTTGTTAAGTTCACAAAAATGTCATGTATCTATTAGTGTAGTTAGTTTATAGTTAGCTATGATACTGATAGGTTCATAAATTCAATTTAGAAAACTTAGTATTACTTAGCTTAATATTTGTAGGAATTTTTTGGCAAATTGATGATAGCTTTAGCCATGTAATTTTTACAGTAAGATCATTAGATTATTATGTACTCACTGTAATTTTTATAGCCCTAGAGTAGGTTGATAAATAGAGTAGCTAGTACCCCTTGTTTTATCATATATAGAGTAAATCAGTATTAAGAGTAAGAATACCTTTAGTTGCTAAGATAATATATGCCATGATTCATACTTGTTAGTGTTAACAGTAGGTAACTTAGCACCTTAGTCGGTAGAATTCGCTTAGTAGCTTGATAGATGTATTTTATTTTAAGAGCTGCTGTTGTCATATTACTAAGTGTTGCATCATCATTTCATGCATGTAGATCACGAGTTGGTAGAGTTTATGCCCGTGGACGAACAGGATTATGAAGAGGTCATTGAGGAGTATGAGGAGATCCTCGTGCAGGAAGGAGCCTTGGAGCCTTTTGGTGCTGACTTTGTTGACCCACCACCTGCCCAAGGCAAGCCCCGGTGCATAACCCATATTTTATGTTCACTGAATATATATATATGATGTGCATTTACGTTATATGCATTTTATGGAAATTACATGCATAAATATATCTACCTATGAGTCCTACTAGTATATGTCAAGTAGCTGCTATGCTTAGGATTTCGGTAGTGTGAGTAACCTGCCGTTACTCACAATAGGTGATAATTATGATCACTCATGATAAATGATGGAAAGGAAAAATGATGACCGAGCAAGGATATGGTTGGGTATTGGTGGGTGTAAGAGGTTGTGTCCTGTGGCCAACATGGCATAGCTTGGTTACATTTTTTCCCTGTCTTATCCTGAGCACATACTTGGGTATGGGCGCAGGGAAGACTTGTTGCTCTCTTGTCGTGGGTTCTGGCCCTTTCTAGACTGGCTGATTGGAGGCGGGGATGGTGGAGGTCCTTGCACCGCACTAAGTCTGGGAGTTAGAAGCGGGGGCTTGGAGTCCAAGTTTGGACAGGGACCTGGACCCCTTAACAGGAGGGTGATGGGTTGGTCCTGCTTGTGCCTAGGGTACAAGTGGGGCGTGTGTTTTTGGGGTACCTACCTAGGGACATTGATTCGTGAATCGCCATCGAGTCGGTACAACTTCTCTTAACTCTAGCATCCTAGTAAGAACTAAAAGCTGAAAGGTGATGAAATAGAACCGATTGCTCAACTCTTGCTTGAAAGTAGAACATGTGCTTACATAGAATGGATAGATAAGAAATTAATACATCTATTAATAATAATATAAATAAGGACTCACTATTAGTATTGCTTTCCGCAAAAAAGGAAACCAATAAACCATAAAGCCTTGCATATCCTTTGGAGTTGGGAAGCTATTCCCACTAGTTGGATAAGTCTTGCAAGTACATTGTGTACTCAGGGTTTATTTACCCCTGTTCCAGGTAATGCTTGAGGAGTACCTTTGTGTGAAGGATTCTTCTGGTGGGCACAGGCGGATCCTTGTTCCCTATCGCTAGATGTTTATTTTATTCTGCTATTTAATATTCCGCACTCTGACTTTGGAAATGTAATAATGTAATTTTTTTAAGAACTCTGGATGTATGAAATGTACTAAGTATTGTAACTCGTTCTCATCATTGTATCCTTAGGAAAAAATGTGGATCTTTCGGGTTCTCCCTTCGGGTGTGCCCGACGGATACCGCCCGCTGTAACTTGCTTTTGGGGTGCTTAATGTCTGGTGGAAGACGAGCGCCTCCGTAAGTATGTTATTTTGGGTGGTTCTGCCATAAGTACACAGCTACAAAAGTTGCAAGATTCCAACAAAAAATGGATAAAGCTTGTGGAAAATCTTTTGCTTCAGATACATGTCGTGTTAGAAAAAGCTGAAGATAGCTTCGATGTTGAATCAAGATTGGTCAGGCGTGAACCAGGCGACACAGCTGCGGTGGCCACTTCACCATGCCAGGAACCAAGGAGCCGGGGAGACCAACTTCATAGGCCCAAGGAGATTGCCCCTAGTGGCTCCCCAGTGAATCCAACAAGATCAATTCTTCTTCGTTTAACAGGTCAGCAATATCAGAGGTTACAATCCAAGATGTCGAAGATGCCCTTCTCCAACTAGAGATTGTTGTAGCTAAGGAACCCCCATTGAATTCTATTTCATGTTGCTCACCTACCCATGCTACCGGTGGGGAATCTGACCCACTTCTACTCTCCTCGGCCTCAACAAATGCTGAGCCCTCCTGTCCTATTATACAACTAGAGAAGCAGACAATAGGTTCGTCTGCTCAAATGCTAAGGTTAGAGACTATTGAGTCTACCACACCCACACTGGAGATCGATGCATCGTCCAGTTCTTTAACAAGCCATCAGCTCGAGGATACACTGGCAAAGGTGACCTTGGAGGGGATGACTGGGTTCAGGTTGAGGAGGTGTCGTTTTCGTCTAGGCTACGTGTACACCAGGTGTCCACGCTACGAGTCCGCACGCCCCCGTCGTGGCTTTGGAGCTGCTTCTGGTGCCGACCCTTGCATGGACATTGTAGGACATGGACACACTTTGCCACCTTTGCCAGAGGATGATGGCCATACTACACATGAGGTAGTGCTGGCAAACTTCATCCAGTCAATAACCAAGCCTATCCAACAATCCCTGCTTTGTCCACAACAACATGGCCTAGTGAAGCCACGGAAGGAAAAAAATAGGCCGAGCAAGCCGTCCCGGCGCAGTGCGCGCCTAGCAACCATTGCTTGGCAATGTGGTGACGCGCAGATTAAAGCAAGGCAAGTGCTCATGAAGCGGCTGGGCGTCACACAGGAAGAAGGCGAAACCATGGAGATGACCTTGTTGTGCTACCTCAACCTCTTCAAAGGTCCGATGTTCGACTTTGTCATCAAGGTGCTGGTGGCACTCAGTGGCCTTGATGGACCAGCCATGCTGGGGCAGATTGCCACGTAATGCTTCCTTGCTGCTCGAGGACTCGTTCATGCCATGCTAGGCCAAGCTGCTATAGAGGGCACTAAATGATGACGATTCCTATTGATTTTGAAGGAATTTTGACGTGATACCACTTCCATTGGTTGCCTTATCAAATGATCTTTCCATCTATATATAGATCATTGAAAATGGAATCCGTATGCGACCTAGGCGTCTGTTTTAGTACAGACTGCTCCTGGAGCCTAAGATGGACTCGAACTTGACATGGATTGGACCTCCAACTTGGCTTGTATGCCCTTGTTAACCTCCTAAGGTGGTGACCAAGGGGGAGGACGTCCAAAGGATTCCTTCTTATGTTCTTCACCTCCTTGGGGCGTGCTCCAACTTGGGCCAGGGTCCCAAGGGTGAATAACAAGCCCATGATGACGATGTAGCTCCCGACAGAAATAGCGACATATTTTGATGATTTGGAGGCCTTGCCAACATGATATTGAGGTGAGACCAGATCTATTTGAAAGCTTATCAAACTAGCTTTCCATCAAGTGCTCATTGACCTCAATCACAGTCTGGATGAATGAGTTACGACCTTCCCAATCAAGCACTGTCGGTCTGCCGACGAACCGAACGTTGGACTTTGATGAGCTTGCACTCCATACTCTATTATCATCACCATTGTTCCTATTCACATTTGAAATACCGATATTAAATAGTAGCAAATTCTTAGTTTTATCATTATGCAAACATAGGAACGAGCTCACCTTATAATCAAAGGTCGTATCCGAAGATGTCATGTCCTCATCATCTGGCCTCGCTTCGCCTAGCTGGCGCGAGCACCGAGGCGCTCACCCAGGCCGGTGAGCCATTTTGGTTCTCTTACACAAGGTAGTGAAATCTTGCCGGCATAGGCAAATAAACCAAACGCCCAACCTTGGTCGCTACCCTTGCTTGGCTAAGCGGTATAGTGCCAGGCAAAAGGATCCAAGCATGCCAATAAGCACTTGATGGTGCCGAGGACCAAGACAAGATTGGATATATATCGACGTCGAGCAATTTTCTTAGAAGTTACCCAAGAGTTAGGAGCCATGCTTCAAAAGGCATGTATGACAATTCTGTAGTTTCTCTTCAAAACTAGGAGTTGCGACCCTCAGAACGTGCGATGTCATCATAAAGATTGTGTCATGACCATTCCATAAAAAAATAGCAGAGTATTTTGCACCCTTAAAAGGTAATGTAAGTTAGTATTATCAATTTTAAACTCGTAGATCACATCAAAAACTATGACTTTGCAATATACCATGTCAACATCTGAGATTATTTGCTGGCCCTCTTTTTAAACCAGGTGGCTCACCACAAAATCTGTCGACGTGTGCTCTCCTGCTATACACCGTGGGATGCGCATGGAGATATATGAACAGTAGGACATAAGTGCATGCACATGCCGTTAAGCTATTTACAGTTCATTAATTGCATTATTGTTTACAAGAGTGTCACGTCAGCTAAAGAGATATGGGGTGATAAAATGAAACAAGACTCACCGTGTACAGTTCATTTCGCAATTTCATAGACCTACTATAGCATGGTATTATAAAATAAAGCACTTATGTTGGAACAAAATGCTTCTAGTGAAGCCGCACTTAGTTTCCAATGCGTTGAAAACGGTGTGCAACGATGGGACCTGTCTCCTCTCCCCCTCATCATAATTTTTGTACCACGTTATCATTTTTGCGGATATGTCACGTTATTAAATAAGAACGAAGCTCTCATTGATAATGTTTTTTTTTATATGTCATGTTATTAAATAAGAACAAAACTCTCATTGATATTGACATCCAAGGAAAAAAACTGCATTTCAAAGTAACCAGGCAACGGCGGCATTGAGCAATGGCTGCAGCCCTTCTTAAAGCTGTCCTGTTTTGTTTTGCTGTTTTGTACTTTAGCTTAAACTCTGTTTTTTTTTCCAATAAAATTCTGTAGGGGCCTCGGGCCCTTCCAGTTCTAAAAAAAATGGCTGCAGCCCAAGGATGAAGAACAGGTGGGGAGGGGCGGCCCCACCCGGCTGTCACGGGCAGCGCAAGTGACTTCCAGTTGCTTTCGAACACACGTGACATTCGGCAGGGCAGGATGACTTGATGAGGCCGGAAAAACAACATTGGCGTTAGTGCTCTGGTTCGGCTTATAAGGCCTTGATTACATTGGTGTTAGGAATCAGTATTTGACATTGTAGTATTTTTGTTTGTATTTAACAATTATTGTTCAATCATGGCCTAACTAGGCTTAAAAAATTCGTCTCGTAATTTACAATCAAACTGTGTAATTAGTTATTTTTTTTATCTACATTTAATACTCCATACATATGTCCAAAGATTTGATGTGATGGAGAGAGAGTGAAAAAACTTGCAATCTAAACAAGGTCTAAGATGTACTTTTTTCAATCAATGAATAATATTTTTTTCTAATGCTAAATCAGTCAACAATATTTTCGGTCATTATTTATCAGGCAAACAAGTCCAAATGAATAGAGCGCAAGTAGGTGGACTGTGGATACGACCATGCCCAGTGGTCTGTAGGGTCTGGACAAATTTTAGGCGCTGCATCACGGCCGCTTGCCAATTCAAATTCACCCAGCAGTTCTTTGTTTCTGCGCGCGTAGAATTGAACCATCTTTGTGTCCATGCATACACAGGCACACAGCTCTTCTTGAACTGATTTGGTAACCATAAATCAAGAGAAATTAAACATTGAAAAATCCGGTCAAATTTCTGATCGTGCTTGAAGAACTATACTATAATATAATGCTTCGCCATCGTCTTATCTGTCTGTCAGAGTTTTTTTTTTTTGTTTTGTATCTTTTAGAAACTGGAGGGGCCAAAGCCCTACAGATAAACTTTATTTGAAAAAACAGAGCAGGAACAGTTACGGGGGCCTCCTACCGTCCGGCCGTTCGGACGAGATTCTCACGCCGGCCGCAGCGCGCGCAAAATAATTTTCGCGGGCAGGAACGGGGAGCTGCGGTGGGCAGGCCGCGCGCGAATCGAAGTTAATTAGCGCAGATAATGAAGCCGGAAATCATTAGCACAGATAAGGGTCCACGTCGCTAGGCTCATGCATGCACGACCTAAAAAAAACCATAACTACAAAACAAAACATTCAAATTAAATTCTGATTACACCTTCAGATTTCTTGCACTAAATCCTTCAAAACTTCAAAATAAGATCTCACATGAATATACTTAGGTAAATTTTTGTTAACAAACATTTATCTTGTGAAGATAGAATATTTTCTTTTATTGACCAGAGATGGTGTTCTAGCTTCAGAGAATAATGTTCCGTCTTCGTAAAAAAAATATTCTCGGTTTAGAAAAACAATATTCTAGTTTTAAGTGCATGATATTGGTATTATAATATACATAAAAATAAATAAATAAATGCATAACATAAATAAAAAAATCTAGAGCAAAACATAAGGAAAAAATAAAAAAGTAATAAACAAAAAATTAAAAAGAATATCACATGGATACTTTTCAAACATCCAAAAAAGACTATAGAATATCACATGTATACTAAGGCCCCGTTTGGCAGGGCTTCACTTCACTAGTGAAGCCATTTTTTTTGGCTTCAGCTCCACGAACAGCTCCACCGGTGGAGCTGAAGCGGTTTTGGTAAACCGTTTGGCAAAATGGCTTCCCTGTGAGAGCATGTTTTTAGGGGCCTGGAGGAGGAGCCGGGAGAAGCCACTATTTTTGGCTCCTTCCCACCCCAAAGCTCTGTGAGAGCACGTTTTTAGGGGCTTCATCGGTGGAGCCGTTTCATTTTACCCCGTTTGGCAGAAAACGGCTCCAAACGGCTCCTGAAGCCGCTGGAGAAGCCCTGCCAAACGGGGCCTAAGTGAACATCACTAAATACACCAAAAAACATCACTAAATACATTATATAACATCGCCTATATGTTACGTGAACATTCGTAAATACATCATAGAACATCACATATATATTTTGTGAACATCACAAAAAAATATCATAGAACATCACATGTATACTACGAGAACATAACATGTATATTCCGCGAACATCGCAAAATATATCATAGAACATTATATGCATACCACGTGAATATAAAAAAATATCATAGAACATCACATGTATACTACGTGAACATCACATTTATACTACGCGAACATCATAAAAATACATCATAGAATATAACATGTATATCATATGAATATCATAAAAAAACATCATAGAACATCACATCTATACTATATAACATATCATCTCATGAAAATATAGAAAATAAAAAATTAAATATGAAAAAATAATTAAGTAAGGTAAAATAAAAAAATAGAAAAAAAATCTATAGAAAACATAAAGATAAAACAGCAAAGGAAAAATAAAGAAATACAAAAAAGAATAAAACATAAAAAATATATTATAAAACAAACATAACAATTAATTATAGTAAAAACAAAAATAAATATATAAAAAGAAAAGAATAATAAAAAATCACATCAAACAAAAAAATAAGCAAAAAAAAATAAATAGATTGAAGAAAGGAAATAAAAAATAATAAGAAAAGGAAAGAAAAGAAAAGAAAACAAAAAAGAAATAAAATAAAAATGAAAAATAAAAAATAAAAAATAAAAAGAATAATAAAAATCACATAAAACAAAAAAAATAAAGCATGAAAGAAAAAAGAAAAAGAAAAAAATAAAAAGGGAAGAAAAGAAAAGAAAACAAATGAGAAGAATAAGAAAAAAAAGAAAAATAAAAAGAAACTACCGTACCTTGCCTAGGGCGCTACTCAAAGCTCAGATGAATTCCCATGAGCATGGATTCCAGCGAGACTTGCGGCGGGAACGCTGTTCGGCATGGGTATCCTGTCCGACCATTCAGACCGGAAGGTTTCCGACAGTTATAGGAGGGTCAGTCAGAGTTCAGCCTCGATGACCCTAATGAAACTGAAATGTAGCATGGGTGACGGTGGCCCGGCAATGGGAAAGCGGGCGGTTGTGCGGCAATGGCAAG